AAGGGGATTACGAGGGATGGGGGGGTCGCCCTCAGGGGGATGACGACCCCCCGGTTTGAGCGGGATTGCTGGGAGAGAGGTTTCGCCCCGTTTGAGAGTGACCCCCGATCGCTGGGAGATGGTGTCATCTATGGACGGGGGGAAGAAGCGGCTGGGGAACACGGCGGGGGAGACCCTCAGCAGCGCCCCAGGACACCCGGCTGCCTCCCAGAGCCCCCGCTCCAGCCCCTTTGTTTCGCTCTCGGGCTGCTCCCTACGCCGCTCAGGGCTCGCGGCCTCACCTTCCTTCTAAACACCAGCTGAAATGCTGTTCCGGCAAAACCATGCCCTCACGATGACACAATTGTTCAAGGAAAACATTTCCCTGTTTTTTTTCCTGGCACGTGTCTAGGCAGTTTCCTGACCGGAGTAGTGACCACAGCCAGAGGCCACACGTGGCCACTCGGGCAGTGACGGCGGGATACCCTTCACCTCGGCTTTGTGGGCTCCAGGTGGGATATTTTTCACCCTCCTGAGAGCAGAATTGCACCACCTCATCCTGAGAATGCTGTCAAGGCTGCACGACCAGCCTCACAGAGCCATTTGACAGCCCAAGGGTGCCCCTACTGCCCTTGTGGCCCCCTCGTCGTGACCCCATACAACCTATGCACACTTGTGTCCCATCACTGGCCCTACACCTTTGGTTGTGGTTGGACAAATCTGGCGGGGAAACTCCCCTCCCTCCCTCTGCGATGTGCAGGGAAGTGGCTCTGCTCATCACACCCTTCTCTCTTTCTGGGCTGTGCTCATCATGACAGGTCTCCCCTACTTCTTCCCTGGAGGAGTGTTTATCCAGCTAAAAGATTAGTGCGTCTGCAGTATCACAGAGGGAGCAGCAGCAAGACTGAGACAATGGTGAGGAAAAAGTTGGGTTTGGACTTATTTTTGCTGGCCTTGGGGGATGCTCAGAGTGAGAGCAATGTCAGGGTGGCAACACACTCACACCCTCCAGGCTCTGTGTCACTGAGCTGCTCTCAGCTTCCCTCAGACATGTGAACACCTTGCACACGCCAGGACCATGGTATCCAAGGGTCCCATTTCCAAAATTAAATGCTAATAAATGTGTGGGGGCAGATGAAGAGGCAACAGCCAGTCTGACAGTTTGGTGGGGTGACACCCAGGTTGTCAATGACCCAGACTCTGAGAATGGGTGAGAACCAACATGCTGCAAGTACACTGCAATCCCACTGCCAAGGTATCTGGGTATCCCTATTGCATATCAGGCAATTGAAGCAGCAGGGAAGGAAAGCCAAAATTTCACAGAACCTGCAATCTAGGAAAGACACAGCTCCAGCCTAGCAATGGGCCAATTGTTCCTCTGTGACAAGCAGTGATTGCTGAAGGAGCGGGGAGGGAATCTTTTCTTGGGGGTCTTAGTACTCACATGCAGCATGGAGTATCAGACTTTTAATTCGACCCATACCAAAGGGAGCTTTAACACCAAGATATATGGGAAGGTGTTACCGCTTTCTCCTGTTGATGCTGTTCCTGTTCCTGCAGGACCTCAGGGAAATGCAGTGGTGCATGATGACTAGAGCACACCCAGGGGTGTTAAGCATCCAATGATGAGCACTTAAATAGCATCAGGAGGAATAAAGCTGGATGCAGAATCTCCTAGGAAGGGCTATTTTCCCGTTCTGAGTTTCCCACAGCCGATAATGCTGCCACCATTGAGTGCCCCCAGTGAGTGGCTATGTGACAAGAAGAAGAGGAGGGTAGCTCCTTGCTGGTCTACAAAGGAGGCCTTTGCTTCCCTTGATTTGCTCTGCATAGTAGAAGTAAAACATCTTATTTTCATTGTTACAAATAACTCTATTCGTTCTGAACTGAACACTAATGGAGGAAGGCCTAAAAATACACCAAAGCTATTTTTTATCAGTTTGGATGGAAATCACTTTCTCCTTTTCTTCTTCTAATGCCTGCGAGCTCTTGCCATAAGTTCTAAAGAGCAGTAGTCGATGGTGGTACCATTGTGAGTGCCATCCAGCTCCAAAACCCCCTGAGACTGGTGGGGAATACTGCCCAATCGAAGAGATTCCCTGGGACAGGGTTTTAACATGGACTGCAGGGAGTGAAGATGATGACTTGGTGTTAGAGGAGGGATGCTGTTCCCTGGGAGCAATGTGGGGTGAAGCACTAGTCCATAGTCCCCATCTTCTTCACGTCCAAGAGTCCCTCCAGTTCATGGTATGTTTTGCATTGGAGAATCAGTGTCATGTCACCAAAATGGTGACAGATGGTTTGGGGGCAGGGAATGCATTTGCAGAACCTTTCTGTAAATTCCACATGTCCTCAAATTTGCCACAGGCCATCAAGCTTCCAGGGCAGTGGCCTGAGGTCCCACCTGGGTCAGCAAACTGGCAAGGAAACTCGATCAAAGCCCCTTTGCACCAGTGGCTCCAGTGACCCCACAGGCCCCGTGTGACTCCCTGCACACCCCACACTCTCCCAGTCAGACCAGCTCCTCTCACCGGCTCGGCCCCAGGTTTCCCATAGCACAGTCCCAGACTCCAGTTCCTTTGTGGTACAGTGACACAGAACAGCTTGAGCTGGTGCCCCTGGGGAGGGACCCTGGACAAAGCCCCCCTGGGCTGTGCCCATTCTCATGCTGATGTTTAACATTTCCTGTCCCTGGCTCCTGCAGAGTCCCAGGGTGACTGGCCACCCCTCATCTGGCTCCCTAGGGCCCTGAGCCCTTGGTCAAGGCAAAGGGTCATTGCTAGGTCCCAGCTCTTTGCTGGGGACTCTGGCCATTCCCCCCACTCTGAGCACAACCTGGAGCTCGTGCTGCAGCTCTCTGAACTGGGCAGTGGAGCATTCCACAACAACCTTCCCTTTGTTTTAGTGGAGCACACCTGCTAATATATTGAAAGGAAAAAGAAAAAAACTTTCAAGATATTTGAGTACTGTCCTTATATACAACATTATCACAAGTGAAAAACACAACAGAATTAATGCCAACAGGGTGAAGTACGTCATTGACTCCTGTGCACAAATACTTAAAAGATTACTGACACAAAATCACAAAGGATTCTCAGAAGTCAGTTATTTATTAACTGGTTGATCACAGAATCATTAAGTTTGAAAAAGACCTCTGAGACCACCAAGTCCAACCTCTGATTGAGCACCACCTTGTCCACTAGACCAGAGCACTGAACACCACATCCAGTCCTTTCTTAAGCACCTTCAGGAACAGTGACTCCAACACCTCCATGGACAGCCCATTCCACTGTCTAATCACATTTACTGTGAAGAAATTATTCCTAATGTCCAATGTAAACCTCCCCTAGTGCAGCTTGAGACTATGTCCTCTTGTCCTCACGCTGGCTGCCAGGGAGAAAAGCCCAACTCCCACCTTCTCCCACCGTCCTGTCAGGAAGTTGTAGAGAGTGAGAAGGTCCCCTCTGAGCCTCCTTTCCTCCAGGCTGAGTCCCTCCCCCCAACCCCAATCCTTCTGCTGCTCCTCATCAGACACCTGCTCCAAATCCTTCACTAGCTTAGTTGCTCTTTGAACTCACACAGCACCAAAATGTCCTTCCCGAATTGAGTGGCCCAGAATTGCACACAGGACTCAAAGTGTTGCCTCACCAATGCTAAGTTCAGGAGAAGAATCACCTCCCTGATCCTGCTGTCCACGCTATGGCTGGTACAGGCCAGGTGCCATTGCCTTTCTTGGTCTGAGCACTCCTGTGCTCATGTTCACCCACTGTTGATCAGCATCCCCAGGCCTTTCTCTGCTGGGAGCTTTCCAGCCACTCTACCCCAAACCTGCATTGCTGCAGGGGATTATTGTGGCCAATGTGTAGGACCTGGCAACTGGTTTTTTTGAGCCTCGTGCTGTTGGTCATGGCCCATCAATCTGGCCTGTGTAGATCCCCCTGCAAGGGATGCAAGGTCTTCCTACCCTCCAGCAGATCAACACTCCCACCCATCTTGGTGTCATCTGTGAATTTACTCAGGGTGGACTCAATCCCCTTATCCAGACCATCAGTAAAGATACTGAACAGGACTGGGTCCAACACCGACCACTGGCCACCGCTAGGGAAAATAATTGAACAGATCATGTACTGGTTGTTTGGTGTGAGAATAGCATATCAGTTTTTCTTACCTATAACTTTAACAGCAAAATAGGAACACAGTGAACAACACATGACCCTTCCTATCTAGGTCCAAATTTGGATTTTCTACAGAATACCTTGTTTAAAATTCCATCTTCAGTCTGTATATCATGTACCTGTATTTCAGGGGGCTGAGTTGATAACACTGAGCATACTTTGTTCTTTGAACCCTTTCTACATATATATGATACCGGGTCAATCTCCATCCAGTAAGCTGGACATAGCTGGGATATCAGATCTTGGCAGAGCTAAGTGCCTCCCAAAGAGAATTTCTGCTCGTGTCAGCCCTATGACTTAGCACAGAGTATTCTGGACATCCCACAGAGCCAAATTTAAGTCTTCTGGCCATTTCAGATTAGTATACATGCATATTTTCAGATTATTTTCTTTTAATGTTCTATTAATTCTCTCTACTTCTGAAGACTGTGAATGATGTGGCATATGTAATTTTCTCTCACTCCCTAAAGACTTGCACAGCTGATAGATTATATTTGCTGTAAAATGAGCACCCCTGTCTGTTTCAATAAGCTCTGGGAACCTGAGTATCAGATATAACTTCCTTTAGCCAGGCATTTACTACTCTTCCCTTGTCAACTCTTCATGTTGGAAAGGCTCCTGCCCAGCCTGGCAGCTGATTATCATCACCATCAAACTCTTGTCCCCCAGCTGGAGGTGAAGTGTCCATAATCTCTGTGCAGCCACTGGAAAGGTAAGCAGGCCCATGGTAACCCTCCTACCTCTGATCTTGGTCTGTTACATGAGAACTTTGGGCAAGATGGGCAGCTATTAGTAATTTATTTTGCAGTGGCCTAAATTCCTGGAGCTGCCCACACTTTTTGACCCTCTATAGGCTTTGCCCTGAAACCATCTCACCACAGTTACTAAACATTTCTTTGGCAGACCAGTTTTTCTCCAGCTGACTATATTCCATCGTTATTTTGAGTTGCCTCTACACTTTTCCCATCCTCTCTTTCCTTCTGTTGAGCTGCCTTTCTCATATGTAGTTTGAAATTCTGTCAAATTGGGCCTTTCACTCTGGACAACCATTAGATAGATGGTCTGACACATCATCCCAGAGGCTGCCTGGCTGTGCTTTCACAACTGCATCAGCTGGGGCATTGCCCCTGCAAACCCCAGTAATGCCTCTAGTGTGGGCAGAACAAGGTACTACAGCAGTTTCTGCAGGGAATTGTACTGGTTCTAGAAAACTGTGTATTTCCTCTCCATTGAATACTCTCTGTCCTGCTGATGTGAAAAATCCCTGCTCTTTCCAGAACATTCCTGCTGTATGACAAACACCAAAAGCATATCAAGTATCAAATGTATAGCTATTAACTCCCTCTTCCCAGATGTGCAGCATGAGCCAAGGCTGCACCCTGTGTGCTCTCCTTTCTGGGAGAGGCTCTGCTTCTGCTACCTGTCCCTGGCATCCCCGTGGATGGTCTACCCATAACATCACTGTATCACTGTCCTTGCTGTAGGAGTCTGGATTACAGAGTGTGTGCCCTTGTTTCTGATACTTAATTATAAGATCTAGAAAAACATTGAATTTCATATAATATGAAATTCATGAGCATGTTTTCATGGTGATACATGAAAACAAATGTTAAAGTTAGATGAAAAAAGCTAAAAGTGTAAGTGTGTAGATTAGAAAGTTTTTTAAATCACTGGGTGAAAAAGTTAGTTTAGAGAACAGGAGACAAGTTGGAGGATTTAGGGTGTTGTCTCTTGTCCCTTCTTCTTTCTTCATGTTCTTCTCCTGGAGGTTTTTGGGTAATAGTAAGTGATTGAATAGAAAATGCCGCAGTGCATCACAGAGGTGATGGGTCATTGGGTCATTAAAAAAAATAATATACGTGTCTACTGTTAATTGGGTAAAAATAGGTATAAAGATAAAAGAACTGCGTAGTTCGGGGCCATTTTGTGCATCAGACACGAAGTGTGCCACAAAGCCTTGTTTGTACCATCAGAAGAAAGAAATGTGCCAAATTGCAGAGATTAACCTTGTAACCAGCCTGGAGAGATCTGTCAAGTTTTGTGATCACCTGTTAATAAACACGAAAAACAAGATTCTACCAAGCTCGGGAGTTTTCTTCGAATAATAACGACTGAGATAAGTGGGACTCCCCACGAGGGAGGATCCCAAAAGAATTCAGCCCAAAGGAGGCTGAGAGACTAGGGAAAAGCTATATCCACAGAAAATTCAGCCCAAAGGAGGCAAGGAGAGAGAAATTACACTTGCAGGTAGCAGGATGAGCCCCAGAACTAGATCTGGGCTATATGAGGGAACATCAGTTAATGGAAATCTTCATCCCTTGCTCAGACTGGAGATGTGCTTCTCCATCATCAGGCAGAGGCATTCGGCTCACTGGATTCAAGGTGTTGCATCTTTTTAAGAGTATCTGCTGTTAGGAGGATTTGCTGTTGTGATAGATCTGGGGGTGGATACTGTTCCAATGGTATCTCCACCTCATGTGAGACATGGACTGTTGTAGAATGTCCCAGGGTAAAGGGGTGGCTTTTCTCTAATGTTGCTGCTGCTGCCACCACCGATCTATGACAGGCTGGTGCTCCTGCTGCAACTCGATCCAGATGAACTGAGGAATGTGTGACCAGTCCCACTCCCTGGGTTACTACTCCAGCGGCCACTTGTTTATGCCCATGTGCCCACACACATGTATATATAACTCTCTTTTCAGTGGCAAAAATCTTTTCCTTTCCTTTTCACTGAAGAGGCAATACAAATCATTAGGCAACGGAACCAGTTTCCTGCTCAGGCAGGACTTTTTGCCCATCATCCTGGAAGAAAATGAAACTTTTCTCAAGTTAATAGAAATGATATTAGTGTAAGAAGGTTTCCTGTTGCTTTGCTCATGCTGTTATTCCCAACCACAGGTTCATGAATAGAACATAGCAGATCTTCAAGAACAGCTACAAGAGTTCTACTTATTCTGGGGGAAGTCTTCAAATACTATTTGTATGTTTATTATCCCTTCACCTAATATAAATGTACATGCAGAAAAATGTGTTTTTATAAATATTCTTTTAGAAACAGACAAAAATAGCAATGTTATGAGCATGTGCATGTACACAGGGAATCTCATACATAAAAAAATAAAGTGCTGTGGGAGCTGACACACACATGGAGAACATGCTCCGTGGTATTTCTAGTTTACACCCCAACAATCCATTCAAATAGTTATGACTACATCTGAATTCACAAAAAACTCAAAGTTTTCCAGGAAAAC